AACATATGGATGGACACACACTTGCACGACCATGAGCCATCTCACTCAGCCGGCGTCACACTCACTGTGTGTCTGTGTGTGTGTGTGTGTGTGTGGGGCTTCTTTTTCTTTTAAACAAAAACTCTGCATCTCTGTACTATGCTCATTATCTTTTCTCTATATATATATTGCACTCTCTCTCTCTTGCACTCCCTTCCTCTCTCTCTCTCTCTCTCTCTCTCTCTTGCACTCCCTCCCTCCTCTTCCTCAGTCTGAATCTCAGGACAGGAGTTTGTAGTGCACTCATCCATCTTTCCGCTGCACACTTTTCTATCATCACGACCAGACACTTCCACTGTCTCTCTCTCTTTCTTCTCTCTCTCATGCTGTCTCTCTCTCTTTTCATTCTCTCTCTCCATCTCCTTCTCTCTCTTCGCTCTCTCTCCCCCTTTCTCTTTGCTCTCTCCCTCACTCTGTCGTCTCTCTCTTTTTTTGCTCTCTCTCTCTCTGTCTCACTCTCTTTTCTCTCTCCCTCTCTCTCCCTTTCTCCCTCTCTCTCATTTTGGTGTCTTTCTCTCTCCCTCTCCCCTCTCTCTCTCTCTCTCTCTCTCTTTCTCTCTCTTATCTCCCCTCACCGCCCCTCCCCTTCTCCCCACTATCTCCTTCTGCAATGTCTCTCTCTTTTTCTCTCTCACACATACACACACAGACAAAAAACTCACACATACACACACACTCACTCACACATACACTCTCTCTCTATCTCTCTCTCTCTCCCTCTCTCAGCCCAGAGTAAGCTCTCTTTCCTTGTCTCTCTCTCACTCCATTTCTGGCAAAGGAAGTGTGTGTTCCCCAGGGGGAGCTGGGCTCATTAACTTCCAGCAGACAGAGAGAGCGCGCGGAAGAGAGAGAGAGAGGATAGAGAAACAGAGAAAGTGAGAGAGAGAGAGAGAGAGAGAGAGAGAGAGAGAGAGAGCAAGAGACCAAGGGAGAGAGAGAGAAAGATAGAGGAACTGGGGGAAGGTGGGGGGAGGGTGAGAGAGTCTGCAAGAGAGACTAAAGGTGGGGTAAAGACAGGAGATGGAGAGAGAGAGAGAGAGAGAGAGAGTGAGAGAGTGAGATGGATGGACAGAGAGAAAAACAACAGCAAAAAAAGGCACTAAGTGAGAGAGAAGAATGAAATTCAGAACATTCGCCTCATCCCTCGCCAGTCACTTACAGATTTCACTCAAATGACAATAATTTAGAGGATGAGCCCTAAGCTACACACACACACACACACACACACATAAAGTTACACTGAATAACAAGATGCTTTCAATAAGCTTGATTTGAATGTGTACATCATGCCCCTAAAAATGCCATATTTAAGTTCCTCAGAGAGGATGTGCAGCAAAACATGTAATTTGACCAGGAATGTTCAAAGTTTTGAATATGACAGTATCTAAAAAAATAGTGACTTTACAAGAGGTCAAAAAAGCTCTTAACTTTGAATGTAAATTAATTACATATATTTTATTAATAATAGAGTTTAAGCATTTCTATTGATACATTCATATAATGTAAAACACAGCTGTGTTCAAACCTAGAAAACATAGAAAAATAAAAATAGACAGTGAAATCTGTATGTATGTAATATAATAACATTGTATCATCAAAAGCTCATATCTAGTAAAGTGAGGAAGTAAAAATGGGTTAATGTATGTTAATGTAAAACCTCACCATTTGGTCCATTTATCATGAAATGTTCACACACCATGAAGAGCAACTAACACTTTTAAATGGTGACATTTAATATAACAACAAATTGAAAATTGAAAAAAAAAGCTGAAAGATTTTGATGTGACAATGATGGTATGTTATTCATATGGAAATGATGTGCACATTCTGGATTAAATTCACTTTTTTCAGAGTATGGTCACTGACATGGGTTTGCCTTATATTATTATTTCATTTTGATAATGCTATACTGCTAAAGTGCCAGGTAGCTAGAACCGTGTGAATAGAAGTGTAAAGAATCTGCTGGAACAGGTCTCTTTTCTACTTTGTGTGAGTGTATGTGTCTGTGGGGGGGTTATTAGACCAGCACAGTGAAGAGACACAGACTCATAAGGCTACTGACCAGAATTTAGCCACCTGATCAGACCACAACAACAACAAACCTCAGCAAAAATCCACTGCTAACCATTTCACCCATAGCCATTGCACAAATCAAAACCATGTCATCACAACACCAACGCTTCGGTTTAAGGGTTATAAACAGAGTTATAAATACTGCATGCCATATTTATAAATCCTTTATGACTCATTAATAACGTATGAGTGATACTCAAACCATGTACAACAACTGTGAAACATATGTGACCAAGTGTGACCGATAAATTATCCATTGTCTCCAACATGCAAACAAAACAATCCCTATGTATACAAACAAGAGTGTATCATAAAATCTTTATGAGAGTGATGATTCACTTTCGCTCGATCCCTTGATCTATGTTCATGGGACAACAGCCAGGCACGCTCGTCCAGGAGCTGACGACACACTTGGCTTCATGTGACTCTCTTCTAGTGTCTATGTTGTGCCCAAAAATCTAACTCTCTGTGCCTGATGATGTTTCAGCTCTGAGTGAATGTGACTTAATGGACAACCAGAGAGGATAAGCAGCACGGAGAAGAGAGAGAGAGAAAAAAAAGCCAGAGCTCTTAGTCTGAAACCACTAACCAAGCAATGAACCCATCCATTCACCCGGTCATGGATTAGATCAAATGTAAGCAGCGTCCTCCTACTGGAGATGTCGCCGTCTCTTCTAACAGCACCTTCCTTTCACTTCATCATACATTCTCTCCTCGCCTCTCCTCTCTCCTCTCTGCAACTGCTTTAAAGACAAACCTTTACATCGCTGTCATACAGAAACGTTTTAACTTACACAGCGTAATACAAAAACCTTGTAATTTGTTTTTACATTTTTACTTTATTTGAAAACACCAGCTGTCCTTTATATTGCCTGAACATTTTGAGAAAAATGTCACAACAGAAATTGTCCAAAGTTACTTATGCTGTTATATTAACATACAATACAATTAAGACTGTTTTTTGGAAATTTCTCACTGACCTCGTAGAATTAAGATGCACTTATTAAATTAGCATGTGCTAAAATGATAATAAGAAAATATATAATATATAATCATCTATAAACAGATCTGGTACTGTGCAAATGTCAGAGACCACTCTTTACGTATTTAATTCCTAGTCAAAATGGCTAGTCAAAAGTTATTCATATTTCATAAGAGTGCTTGATATAGCTGAGAAGATTAGGATAATCCACTTGCATATGGAAGAAGGATGTCAAAAGGAAAATAAATGAAAAAACAGGACTTTCCAAAACTGGAGTACATAAAATTATAAAAAGATGTAGAGAAAATGGGACCCCTAACAACCATGCAAGGCCTGGTAGACCACCAAAACTGCCACCATCAGATAAACAGTACTTAAAGCTTTCATCTTTTAGAGCCCACGTGTCAAACATGAGGGCTCAAGTCAGGCCTGTGACACAATCCTATTCGGCCCGCAAATTTGTTTTAAATCTCTATTATTAGTAGTACATTTCATCATGAGCTGCACTACAGTTCTCAGCATGCACTGCAATGTAATGTGTGCTCCCACCCCCTCCCCAGAAACAATCTATGGGACTGCACCACAAAAAAAAAACAACAAAAAAAGATGCCAGGGGTTTAGTTCAAGCGAATGGCCAGTTTTAAAAAACCTATTGTACACTGGGGATATTTAAAGAGGTTCAACAGTTATCTGCAGCTAAGGTAGCCTATTGTGTTACATAAACAATTTGTTTTTATTTAAAATTGAATGATTCAAAAATAAGTATTCAGTACCTGTTTTTTTGTTGTAGTTTTGGCATATTTTGAACAAACCATGGCCAGTTGGGGTCATGGCAAAATGTTAAGTAATGTTTGTTGAGATTTTTAATATAGCACTTTTATGGTTGAGTTTGACACCCCCCTCTGTTTTTTAGAGAGAGGAGAAAATGAAGCTCTACTCTTGCTTCAGATCTGAAAAAATCCACACGTGTTTCTGTCCATCCTTCCACTGTGAGAAGACAACTCAGTGCTATGAGTCTGAAAGGATGTGTAGCTCTCAAGAAGCCTTTACTAAGAAAAGGAAACAGATAGCAGAACATTACCAAAACCAAACAAAGAAACTGCTGGTGTTCTCAGAACCATGGACTGACCACCCCAGAGTCCAGACCTCAACATCACTGAATGTGTTTGGGATTACTTGGATTTCAAATTACTTGGATTACTGAAAAATACAAATTATATTTTGCTGTTGAGGCTTCTGTGTAACTTTCTGTTAAATATATATTTTCTGCTTTTTTGTGATGCTGAAAAATAAATACATTTTACTTGATGGCTGTTTTAAGGCTAATAAAATAAATGAAGGGTGGTCTCTGACTTTTGCACAGTATTGAAAACACAGCCTTTGTTGGCGATACCACGATCACTCATTCAGTTCAGCTCAATGAATCTCATTGTACTTGTACCGTGACAAAAAATCTATTCTATTCCATGGTGATACAAATCCAGACAGCAGTCAATAAATATCTGAATGAACGTCGAATGAATAAATGAATGAATGAACGGATGAATGAGTCAGAAGGAATGAGTCACCCTGAAGTAAAGGGAGAATTTTATTAGCAAATCTTGCTGAATAAAGTTAGACGGCCTGTTAGCCTGGTTGAGCCGTTGTGTTGCAGAGGAGCGTGAGGAAGGTGTGTGTGTGGGGGAGGAGGATCTGTGGGCTGAAGGCTGCGTTTCGTCTAATTCAGAGCACAGAGCTAATATTTGAAAATGAAGCACACAGGTATCTGCACAGACTGCTTAGCGTGCCATGCACTGACATATTTCATTACATCCGGAGGGGGGAGTATATTTCTCACAAAATACACACACACTTCCCACTCAAAATGTGTGCTAACATATGCACCATAACAAAAAAAAAAACTTACCTTTCTCTAGATTCTCTCAACTATTTCTCACAAACTGCACGTTTCCATGGCAATCTAGTCTGCCAGTATGTTACCTGAGAGAGAGAAAGAATGAGAGAGAGAGAGAGAGAGAGAGAGAGAGAGAGAGAGAGAGAGAGAGAGAGACTAAGCAGTCAAGGTTGACATCAACAGCACAAAAACCTATAGCACAATGCTGTAGAACTCCTCAATATCTGCTGATTTTTGCACTTCAGTCTTTATTCTGTGCATTATTCTCTTAACAGACTAACACAAGTGCTTCCTTCATTGAAATCTTTTCTGTAAGGCTCTGTTCAGTGGTCAGAAACGTACCTCAAGAAACCTCTGGACGAAAAACACTGCTGCCTGAGTCAAACGTTGGTGTTTTCACTATCCCAAATCTCAAGTCTACAGAGAGCACATTACTGCTACACAAATCAGAGACTTATATGTTTAATACAAGAAAAAATTGATATTGTCGCTGCCAAAACAAAACCTCATCTCTGAAAGCGTAACTTTACCAGAGAAAAAGAAAAAGGTTCTCAACTTTTAAAGGAATGGTTCACCAAAAAATCTAATTTGCACAGTTTTCCATTATCCCAAATGTAGTTAATCTGCCAAGTCTCGTTTTGGTGTGTGAGCTTTGCTTCGTCTGTTTCGCACTTGAGCTAATGTACTATAATTTATTAACAATTTTAATAAAGATTATTAAAGAATTAAAGATTTTGGTTGACAGACCTTTATTACTTGCTACGCAAGCCTCTGTAGCTTCAGTGCAAATCTGATGAAGGAAACTTTAGATACCAGATCTTGCTGACTGACACACTCAGATGTTCGGGGTAAGAGGAAAACTGTAAATTTGATTTTTCAGTGAACCACACCTTCATTGCAGGTTAAGATAACAATTTTCCCCAAGTCATTCCCAAGTAATTGTGGACTATTGCTATTGTCATGATTTTTTTACACAGTGCAAAGGGTGGCTGGCACTATTGAATGATTAAAAATAATAATAATTTGACAGTGATCATATGCTACATAGGACAAAAAGCAGCACAATAAAAGTTTTGCTTTTACAAATGTTCAGTTTGTCTCTCCAATGTTAAAATGCAGTCCAATGTTCTTGATGTGCCAATATCACCAATAACACTTGATATACCAATAGCTGCACATGACTCATCTCAACCTGTCACCATATACCTCAGATGATAAACACAGAAAGACTGCAGTGCACACTGAAAAAATGATGCATTGCATTTATCTGATAAATATGTAGTCTGACAAAAACCTAATATCTCCAAAATGCTAAAAATATTCTTAACCTTTAATGTAGATTAAAGCAAAAAGATTTTATTCCAAGCATTTTTGGACCATTCATTATGAAATTTCCACACACTGTAAAGAGCAGCTGGCATTTTTAAGTTCTGTCAATAATGAAGATACAAGGCTTTCTTCAGACAGCAACGATTTGTCTCATTTTACTTGCTTTTGTCAATAATGGTGTTGAAATGAAATGTATTTCTTTCATGTAGAAATGATGTACACATTTGAATCAAGTAAATTGAGATGTCTGTCTTTTTATCTATTGATGTCCCCCCACAGGACCACCAGGTAAGATCACTGCAGAGCACACTGAGCTTTGACGTTTACAAGCATCTAATCTCTGATGCAGGGCATATGAAGTGATATGTACATAGCACATGCCTGAATGAGGTAATCTGTTGCAGTTGTAATGTGTATACACTCCTGTCTCCTTCCCCACCTCTGTGTCTTCCAACTCCCAAGCTCTTTTTCACCCTCTCTCTCTCAGCCTCTCTCTCTCTCTTTAATAATTGAGTTGGTTCAGTCTCTCGTTAGAGTCGGCTCGTTAGTGAAAGACACCAAAAGCGGCCAGGTATACAGAACCTCTCCACACACGCACACACACACACACACACACACACACACACACACACACAGTCTCTCTCTCTCTTCCCTTCTTCCCTCCCTCAAACGCTGACACACACACACCAATGTAGATTAAGTCAGCTTTGCTGCATGCCCCCAGTCCCTCTACCCCCCCCCCAACACACACACACACACACACACACACACACACATACTCTCTCTCCCAGAGCCAGGGTCAAAGGTGAAAGCCTCTCCTAAAACCAGCTACAGCCAGTCAGAGAGAGAGAGAGAGAGAGAGAGAGAGAGAGAGAGAGAGAGATGTGCGAGAGACAGAGAAAGACTGGTGAGAGTCATAAAGAGAGAGAGAGTGATGAGGGAGAGAGGGGAGAGAGAGAGATACAGTGAGACAGGGAGAGAGCGAGGGGGGAGACATGCAGAGAAAGAGAGAGAGAGCAATGCAGAGAGGGAGAGAGAGAGAACAGGGAGAGCAGACATACAGAGATCAGAGTGTACACCTTCAGAAAAGATGATTCTTCAAGGGTTCTTTAGCAAAGACAGTGATTCTATTTAGAACCATGAGTTCTATATAGTACCATTCTATGCTTAAATGGTTCTTTGCATAGTGAAATTGTTCTTCAGAGTGATGGAGAATGTGTTGAATATGGTTCTATGTAGAACCTTTTTGAAAAATTTTCTGTATAGAGCTAAAAATGGTTCTTCTATTGTTACGATGTCAAGCTTGTAACAATAGCAGAACCCTTTTGGTGCTATACAGAACCATATACAACATATTCTCCATCAATCTGAAGAAACTTTTCACCATGCAAAGGAGCCATTTAAGCATGGAATGATATAGAACGTATGGTAGAACCAAAGCCATTACTAAAGAACCCCTGAAAAGCCATCTTTTTAAAGAGTGTAGTCTTGTAGAATTATGGGTTACGTATGCAGAGACACTGAGCCTTTAGGTGTGCTGTATTATATCAGGCTCTGGTGAATGGAATGGTACACCTTGCTGGCATTAGAGCGTCGGCCAAGGTCAGTGTCAGGGAATGCTGCCTTTCTCCTCTCTGCCAATCACAAGTCTCCAGCTGTAGTGGCCTGCCAAGCTTCTTCTAATAAAGGTCGCCATGGAGACCGGAGCTGCCTGACGGACACGCGCGCGCGCGCGCACCATCAACTTGATGTAATGCACACAATACAATTCCACTTAGACACAACGTACAGACTGAAAGAGACTCGGTCACTCAATGTCTGCAATTAGCTGCAATGGAGCCACTTGAGGCGACACAGGAAGAAACGCAGCAAGAAAGAAATGAATTGCTATAAACATGCAAACCAAAAAACATTCCCTTTGACAGGTGTGCGCACAGCTTTAATCTAATGCCTGTAACAGTTATTACCTGACCATTGTTCTGGATAATTAAAGACCCTTTTGGAGAGCGCGCGATCAGGCATATTCACCTGGAGCGCGTGAGCATCAACACAGCTCTTATCTCACTGATAGAGGTGAGAACAGAAATGTGAAGGTGGACACTGAGTGCATGACAACTGATAATAAGCAGTAATTTGCGTTATATCTGTGCAAGAAAACATACTCATTTCCGCTGTTTTTTTTTCTTTCTTTTCCCTGTTTGGTTTGCAACACTTTGCATATGAGCGCCATGTGCGCCAAGCAGGAGGAAAACGGGCGCGCGCGCTTTTGACGCTCGTGCCGTGTGCCATGCGTGCATAAACGCGCCTGTCAAAACACTAAACAAGCTCCCACTGCAAAGAGCAGCCATGCCCCCTGCTCTCAGCCCGCTGTGGCGAATCACAAAGAGGGAACGAGGCAGTCCCTAACTTTAATGGGCATGTGTTGATGCACTGCATAGCAGAGGGGGGGGGGCAGTGGGGGGGGGCGTAATTAGCCAGACTAATCAGGAGAGGAGTCATAGGCGGGTTTAAGCCCGGGAGGGAGCGCGAGCGTGAGGCTACTAACGTCGATCCGTAATCAGACTGGAAAGCAGCTGCCTAGCCTGCTGTCATCCGTCAGCACCTTATGTAGATGTAACAATAGTAAAGAATTACTGCTCACTGATCATCCCTGTCACTGTGGGCTCTGCACTCCGTGTCCTCCACATCTCTGCCTCCGTCGGCCAGATAAGAGCCGTGTTGATGCTCACGCGCTCCGAGTGAACGTGCCTGGTCGCGTGCTCTCTGAAACGGTTCATAATCATCACCGAGTTACAGACATTAAGCGACATGCATGTACGGTGGTGTGAATGAGATGCGGGGCGGAGTGTCTGAGTGAAGCAGTGCTATGTGTTTGTGTGAGCGCGCGCGCGCGCGTGTGACCTAGCCGAAGCTCTATGAATGGCAGCGATGAGGTTAATAAAAAATGCCTCCAACAGAAAAACACACAAACCCTCGTGAAATGCGGCGCGCCTCTGATATGCAAATCTTGGCCCCGTGCAGCCAGACGCCGCCGCCGCCGCCGCCGCGCGCTCACCGGGAGGCGCCGCGCTCGCGCTGCAGCAACGGTGGGCGCGAGCTCCTCACGCGCGCATCAGCGCTGCCTCGGCTGGATCAAATGTGGGAGCAAACGGCGGAGACGCCACAGTCCCCCGGTCTAGGAGCGCAGGGGTCCGCGGGCAGAGCGCACTCCACAGCCTCGTCCGGCGCGCGCATGCTGGTCCACTGCTGGCTCGCGACGCCAAACCGAGCTGCTCACTGTCAGCATCTGGTAAAGAAAAAAGAAAAAACTCCAAACCGAGAAAAAAGCTTACAAAAAGCACATGCACGGGGAACAGGAGGGGAAAACTCGCGCGCTGTCGTTCACTTTCTCGGATAAAATAAAACGTCGATTTTGGAAACTGTGTGCCGCCGGTTGCACGCCGAGGCGCCCCGGGGACTGAGAGCGCGCGCGAGAGAGACGGAGGAGTGAGCGCGTTTCTGCGCCGTTTCTCGCCCCACTGCAAACCCACTACGAGCTGTGTAGAAAACGCGAACTGCAGACGTAACGGAGCCGTCTGAGAGTCCGTAGATTCTTGGAGCTGGATTTTTTTTCTTCTTCCGAGGATTCTGGGTAATGAAGTTTTTACTCTCTGTTTGTGCGTCGCACTTACGCAACTGTGTGCGTATATGTATTTGGCTGTATTTGGAGACACTGGAGGATGGAAAACATGGGAAAATAATTATTTTACAGAACAAAAATGTAGATTTCATCCGAAAAAAGTAAAAGTGTCAAAAGTTTTAGAGTTGGCTTTGGTGGCGGCTCGGCGGCATTTAGCCTCGTCACAGTAATAGCCTACAGAAGTGAATGGAAATCTCCCGCAAAGACGGCACTGAAAAGATAAAAACTCGTGAGTGAATGTGTTAGAGTGTTGGCATGTTTGAGTAATGGGTCACTGCAACTAGCAAGGTTGGCTAAATGAGAAATACAGTGGAAAATATAATATAATACAAGCGATATATAGAGTTACAGTGCTGAACTAGAAGAATGACTGATGCTGTGCGGAGGTTTGGCTACATGAGAAAGCATGAACTGTAGATGGATGGAAAATGGCAGTGTAAGCGGCTCAGATCACTGTGGTCAGCTTGATACAGGAATCTGAAACATACCCAGACACGCATGGGACGCCTGGTTCTCACAGCTGAAATGACCATACCTTTACACAAAAACAGATGACTGAACGCCAGACACAGAACCACAGACACGCAGCACTTCAGCTCTGACTCTACTGCCATCTCGTGGATTGTTGTAGTTAAACACGCGAAAATCTAAAATGAGTGAATTGCGCATAATCATGCTTGGTGACTGAACTATTCATGACTTCATGGCAACTTACATTAAATGTACAGTACTGTGCAAAATCAAAGACGATCATTTATTTAATTTCCTGTCAAAACAACAATTAAGTATTATTTTTATGCGTTTTTAGCATCAGGGGATTTTTTTTTTCAGATCTGGAACAAGAGTGGAGCTTGATTATCTCTCGAAGATGAAACAGTGACAGTTGTTAGGAGTCCCACTTTCTCTTATAATAATTGTTTTTAATTTTTTTAAGAAGCTCCTGTTTTTTCACTCATTTCTCTTTGACTTTACCTTCCTTATGCAAGTGGATTATATTATATTAAACATCCTCTATCCTAAAAAAAGTCTCTACTGTGGCTTTTGCACAGTACTATATAAATACCTGTTGTGCATGAAAGGCATTCTTCTTCTAATGCCAGTAAGTGAAAAGGAAGTTATTTTTTGTCAACTGACCACAGAACCCAACACAGAAACAAAGTATTAGTGCTGTTTTGTGGACACCAAACTTTCAGACTAGTTTGTTGGCTGAGAAATGGCAGTTCAGCAAAGTTTTGGAGTGGCATGACCAGCATCTGTAGTTTTTGTTTTTCTTCAGAATAAAATGAAATCAAAAATTGCTAATTTGCTCAGTGTTTGTGTGTGTGTGTAAGAGTAATGGAGATTTTGGAGACATGAGACTCATACAGTCATACAGACTCATACATTGAGTAGGCTGCTATAATGAAAAAAAAAGCATACAAAATACACAACATACTTGAATAATTATCTAAGATTTAGGGCTTCAGTCAGCCCCAAACACAAATCACTAACGCTAAATGAAGGCACTAGTTTGAAAGGCACTCATTAAATTATGAAAAAAATCACAAATATAGTGGTGAGTTGAAAAATACAGTGTAAAAGGGTAAATGTAATAAATCCCATCTCAGGCAGATAGATCATCTGTCTCTGATGAATCTCTAAACTTTAACAACATGTCAATTCGGGTTCATCAGGCTTTCAAGGCACAAAGTTCCATCATTGTACAGCAGTGCTGGTTCAGGGTCATCCTTACTTTTAAAGCTTTTAAAGCCAGACAGATTCAGATAAAAAGATACAGATAAAGCAATACAATGACTGGCAAAAGTGACACAGTATACAGAAAATGAATACAGAACACAGTGTGCTCACAGTGGATTGGCTATTTGGACTGACCTGACAGAAGCTTTGTGGACACAGAGTATACCTAAAAGTGTACATAGTCCTATACAAAGTCCTGTATGAAATATTTTGGTAATATCATGGCTTCACTATATTACAATAACACTGTGCACTGCCAGGTACACAGCATTCGCAGGCATTACATTGTGCCATGTTCAATGTGAGAAAAGCCACAATGTTAATAAAAAATAACATAATACTTGAGGGGAGACTGCTCCTACCCGCCCTAGTAAGTGACTTTGATATGAGGCACTTCTTTGAAGGTGATGAATATAAGTTGCACATCATCTCATACATTCATTAGGAGACTTAATTTGAGGGCCTCACATTGAAATCACTCTTAAAACCCGTTTAACCCACTGGAGGAGCAATCATTTTACATGCGCCTTCTCATTCACAGGTCCTCCCCTGGCTGGTACTGTGGTTCAGTGGCAGTGAAGTAATCCTCCAGAAAGCCCTGCAGGTACTCAAAGGTGTGCCTCTCATCTGGATCCTTCCTCCAGCACTGCAGCATCAGCTCATGCAGAGAGGCTGGACAGCCCTGTGGACATGGCATACGATAGCCACGCTCCACTTGCTCCAAAACCTCCCTGTTATTCATTCCTACAAAGCACACACACACACACACACACACACACATACAAACCCTGTCACGATACCAAGATTTAAAACTATAATTTTATTAAGATTATAACCTCAAGGTTTTGGGCTATATCAGGGGTCGGCAACATGTAGCTCCAGAGATGGAGATAATGTAGCCTATAACTGCTGATTCATTGACCTGACCTTTAACTTCAAGGTTGGTGTGCATACTGCTGGTCACATAGCAACGCAGAAAACAATCTCACCTAGCTAGTAGCTAACAAAAAAAACAAAGATTTCAGATAAATGCATAATTTGGAGACGATTCGATTTATTTACATTTATAAGCACTCCCGCTGGTTTCCTGATACATTTAATCTTCAACGAGAAACTGTCAAACACTAAAAAGACGCAAAGCAGAAGTTTCTCATTCGCTAGCTTCTTGTTCCCGTTCCACCTTGAATGGCACAGCAGTTACATTCTGGCACCATTTAAGGTGGAACTAGAAAAATCGAACAAGAAGCTGGTGAATAAGAAACTGACTCGTAAAAAGTCAAATATTAAAAGAGATATGAGAAAAGCGGCTGTATCTCAGCTAAAACTTAAAGCAGAGCAAAGTAAGTCTGCGCTTTCATTTATATTATATTTTTTAGCCTGTACTAGCACAATAGCACATACTGAGACATATTTAAAGCCAAGATGGTAAAATGCACATAAAATGTTGTGGATCCCAAGGTGGTTTGATTTTTGTTAAAGGGACAAAATGGCTCTTCTTTTTTGTTGCTGAACCCTGGGCTACATCTTCTATGCTCCTTTATGAATTTTTTCAGTTATAAGTATTTTTTAGGGATGCACCAATATGGGAATTCTGGGCCACAGTCCATGTACATATCTGACAATGGAGAAACGTTAAGTAAACTACATATACCTAGATTATCATTTAAGAGAAATATAAACAACTGCCTAATGCCGATACCGATATAATTCCAATATCGTTGTGCACACCTATAACTTTTAAGTAAATTATACAATGTTGACTGTAGCATAACATACTAACTAAGTTGAGTCGGAGTTAAGTAAATTATACAGTGTATTTGAAGAGACAGTAGCGTTAAATATGAACCTCACTTCACTCTGATTGATTTTATACCTTAATTGCTCTTAAAGAATTCCAAACTCTAATTGTTCTTACTGCTCATTAATAGCTTTAACAGCTCTGAAGATTTTGACATATTTAAGAAGAAGGTTAAGACCCACTTGTTTAAATTAGCTTTTAATTAACATTTTATATATTTTACCGGGTGTATCCTGCCTTCCACCCAATGTCAGCTGGGATAGGCTCCAGCACCCCACCGCGACCCAGAAGGAGAAGCGGTTTAGATGATGTGTGTGTGTGTGTGTGCTTTTACTGTTTGTATTTACATTTGTAATGTTTTATTTTCTTATTTGTTTTTGTCTTTTGATTGCTTATATTTGCAATTTTAACTTATTTCTGTCTTTTGTAAAGCATTTTGTGAAACTTTGAAAAAGTGCTATATAAATAAAGCTTATTATTATTATTATTATTATTATTATTATTAGTTGTGCTCTCTGGATCAGGCCCTAAACCTTTGGTGTCAATTCCAGTGTGGGTCAGTTACTGTACAACTGATAGAACAACAACATTTGAAAAACTTGTTTTTATCAGCTTGTAAGGCTTTGTGTGAAACAGTTATAATTAGGTCCCAAAGACTTAAGTTCCAGGAATATTATTTTTGGTGAATAGGCATATATATTTTAAACCGCAGTTGTTGTAGGTGTCAGTGTAAAACATGAAGAGTAACGTTTATTGTAAATGACACCTGAAAATAACATGAACATCACCATACATAAACACAAAAACCAACAAGGTGAATGTACCTGGGTAGGGCACTCTGCCTTTTGTGATGAGTTCAGTCAAGAGGATACCGAATGACCACACATCTGATTTGATGGTAAATTTGCCATAGAGAGCTGCCTCAGGAGCGGTCCACTTTATAGGAAACTTTGCGCCTGTAATGCAGCATTCAGTTAGTCACTATTGAAAAAGCAAGAGTAAATAAATAAATACAAGCAGCATTAAAGGATGTAAATCTCATCTGAATTAGAAAACAAGGAGAGTGGAATTTGAGTGGAACAGAATAGAGGAAAAAACAAGAGAAAGAAAACAATGCACTGAAAACAGTAGCGTGTTGGGTCGGTAATGACCTTGTCTGGCAGTGTATTCATTGTCCTCAATGAGTCTGGCCAGTCCAAAGTCAGCAATCTTGCAGACCAAGTTATCTCCCACCAGGATGTTAGCTGCTCTCAAGTCTCTGTGGATGTAGTTCATCCGCTCGATGTACGCCATGCCACCTGCGATCTGTTGGAAAGGCAACCATCATGTGTCCCTGCTATGAATTATCTTAAAATAAATCTAACCTAATAATGTAAGATGCTCAGTGATTTTACTAATATTTCAGTGACAGAATTTAAAATTGTATATCCTTTATGTTGTGCAGTCTTTTCAATCAACATTTTTTTTTAATTCAACTGAATTAAATTAAGAAATGAAAAATGGTTCTTCTATGCAATCCCTCCAGAGAACCCTTTTTGGCACTTTGATTTCTAAAACTGTAGTCCAACACATGCTAAAACAGACTGCTGGAGAACACTTGCTGCTCAGTGTGCAAAGCAGCACAGGTGGAACTTAAGTCTAAATCTAATACACCATATACAACATAAAACAACCGCAATTCTTTGCACATCCTGCATTGTGAGTGTGATACAATGTGTTATTGTTACATGCTTTGTGACCAATCTCTAGTGAATAACAGTATCAGTTTAACCTGTGCAGCCATGTCCACTAGTTGAGGCAGTTTCAGACTTCTGCCTTCTCCATCTTTGAGGAAGTCCAACAAGCTTCCTGAAACATAAACAGTATATATGAATATGATCAGCCTCGGTTTTCATCTAATAGTAACGTTTTGAAACTGTGTGTCTTCGTTTGTGTACCTTGACTCATGAACTCTGTGATGATGTAGATGGGCTCCTCCGACACCACTGCGTAAAGCTGCACAAGTTTATCGTGGCGGAGTCTCTTCATGATCTGGGCCTCATCCAGGAAGGCCTCTGGAGACATTGTGCCTGGTTTCAGGGTCTTCACTGCTACTTTAGTGGTGCCGTTCCACATTCCTACACGCAGACAGAGCAAAGATGACGCAGTCTGACAAATACAAGGAATGTTCATTAGTAGATGCAAATTAATTAAAAAGCAAGTCCAATGTTTTTCCTCAAAAAACAATTCAGTAACACTTTGTAATAACAGGCCCCAATAAACAGCAACTTAATAGTCATTTATAGTTTGTTAATGACTATTAATAATTATGTAATAGTTAAATATGTAAGTAATCATTTAACCTGAAATATTAAGCAGTTATTTAGTTTCACTTTTACTAAAACATTTCACATATGTATGAATTATTTGTCTAGATTCTGTTTTAAATGATTAAGTAATTATTTATTATCTTGCTACTTTGTGATGCATAAACATTTCCTTAAATGATTAGTTAATCATTATTAAGTGGTTAATATATACTTTTGTTTAAACATTTATAAGGTTGTGACTAATAAATGTTTAATGCATTTATAAAGATATGTTGTATTACTTATTACCCTTAAATATACTATAGTTATGAAAAACACTTGCAATGCTTAAATTATTTATATGTCACTAATAATTCAAATGGTAGCATTTATGAAATTGCCTTAATAAGTATTAATTATCATTGATAAGCTAATACATAATGATTTAGTTAATATAAAGGCCTGTTAATATAAAGTGTTTCACATTGCAAAAATATAACTACTTTAGGCTTTCATGGGGAATAGAATGAGACATCAGTGTTGCTTTAAGAGACTCTAACATACCAATAATGAAGCAATGCAACATTTTCCAATAGTTATGCTATTTTTCCATCTCAAAGTAAGCAAATTGTAATGTTATAAAGTGTTGGGACCATGTTAACTTGTTGTGTGTGGTAATATGTTTCTGCTGTTCACTCATTATTTGCTGGACATGCATTGCACATATAATTCATTGAATGATGGACATGCATAGAACACCTTTAACTCTGATCATCATGATTAACATCAACCTCTTTCCTCTCAAGCATAGGAAAACTAAATTAAAGTTAACTAAATTAGGACAGTTTTTATGCTTGCAGTATCTAAACCAGATGTGGTTCTATACTCCCATGGAAGCCTGCGGGAAGTCATTTTTGTGCCGTATCTTACTTCACAAGCATGCATTTGAAATATATTTCCTTGAAAGTGTAGCTTTTTGAGAAAAACATTTGGATTTTACATGAACAATGAACAAGTGGTGAGAAGAAGAGGATGACTAGAGCAGTATGAGGGAAAGAGAATGTGATTTAGCAGCATCACACTGAGGCAAAAGGATTTTTTTGCTAAGACAAAATATACAGAATAGACAGCCTTGAAACTGACAAGAGCTAGGGGTCTTCACACAAGCACTAAGAACAGCTTTTTTTTTATCAGTCAGTTAAAAGGTGGCTCTCTGACCAGTGCTTGTTGAACAGCAGTAAAACACAAACAGCTCTGGACACAACAAAAGCATGTGTAGCAAAGCTAATCTCAGGTTAAATGACTCCTTTTCATTGTCATATTATGCTTTTAAAACATTCAATTCTGAAAGTTTCAACTGTGTTTCACTAAGTAAGCTGTGTAAACGTGCAATGAAGACTTTTTTTTCTTTTTTTTAAAGCAGAAAGCTCATTTAGTACTATAAGGTCCACCATTATCTGATCTGTGTTCAAAACAGATGTGAAACATAGAAAGAGACGATTCAAGCGTACTAAGACCAGGCAAGTGGCTCAGACAGAGCCTCCTCCACAAACAGGCAATAGCACTGACGGTAGCGTGGACAGACACTGGCTCCAGACATTGAGGCTACTGGATAACTGCGGGTAACCGCCTCACCCATCCAGACGTCCCCAAAGCAACCCTGACCCAACTTCCTCTTGAGTTGCAGTGTTTCCCGAGAGATCTCCCAGGCATCCCGCCCCAAACCGAGCGTCTGGGGTGTGGAATTGGGACACGGCTTGGTTAAGAAGTAACATAAACCATCATGACTACCTGAAGGAGGCAAAAAGAGAGAAAGAGGGGGAGAGGGAGAGGGAGAGAGGGAAGAGGGTGGAGATGGAAGAAGAATGAAATGGAGTGGCATGCAATGATATGGGCATTGGAGGTAGAGAACAGTAGCTGCACAGCTTATTGCTGACCGTCTAAATCTTGTGTCATCCTCAGGTCCTGCCGGCCACAGCACTGAAGAGTCTGACACACCTGCTTAAAACCTAGCAATGTGTCTACACTCCTAAAAATAAAGATGCCAAAAAGGATTTTTATTTGCTATAGTAGGATCACTTTCAGTTCCCCTAAGCTTTGTTTCTTAATCCTGCTCCTAGCGACCCACAGCACTGCAGAGTTTCAGTTGTTCTCCAGGACAACGGAGCTGAACCAGCTTGACAATCAGTTGATGAGCTGGATCAGATCTGTTGAGTCAAGGAATACTTGCAACCATGCTGTGCTATGGGTTGCCAGGAGCAGGATTACAGAGGAATTCCATCATTTTTCTAAAGTTCCGCATAATCAGTAAGATGTAAACAAAGTCATTCAGAGTGGTTTGATGTGAAATACTCTGTCCTAGAGAAACTTACTGAGTCGGAATTGTTCACAAGTGGTGGTGATAGGAACCAGACATCTAAAGAGTTTAACAACTCTAAAAGTAACCTCAAAGAAAGTTATTACATGAAATGAGACACTGTTTTAAGGCAGTTTTTAAGACAGTTTTAAAACAGTTTAAGATAAGCCTCCTTAAACATATTTTTCGAGGGACCCATATTATGGAAAACCGAAAGTTTGAAAACACTAACTAGTCCATAGAGTCCATATGCAGAAACTAATCTTCAAAAACAGCTCATTTTGAATTCAACATTTTTATGATGTCATGAAAACCAATACATCTATCGGCCTATTCAGCTTATAGCACTTTAGCTCCACCCACTCACGCTATGCTGAAATGATAAAAAACCTTTCTGGGTGAGGCAGCCAATCAGAACAAAGCTAATTTACATATATCAGTCACGTAAAATGGTCATGTAATAATTAATTATGACAATTGAACCCCAAGAAAAAAAATACAATGCGAGAATAATGTAGGATATGGACCCTTTAAAATCCATTCATGAGAGATATGTGCAGGGTTTGTAAAGCAAAACAGTATGCAAAAAAACTCAAATTTACCACTATTTCACAACTACCAACACTGCAATTAAAACTCATGAAGGTTCACTGGACATCTTGGACAGTATATAAAATGGTTTTATTTGCGTTGTAGACATCTTGAACCCTGGTTCCTATCACCACCACTGAAATGATTTTGGGTAAGTGTGTTTACATCTCAACTATTGAAACTGAAATTTTGAAACGCCGGTGGAATTCCCCTTTAAGAAACACTGCCCTAATGAACGTTTCAGTGAAGGTTCTTCAGAAGAGTAAGTGTAAAGCATCATTTTATCCTCCACATAATGTAAAGGTTCTATATCCATTGACAGTCATACTTAGAACTGTATATCCAAGACAAGACCCAATTAGAAACCTTCATTTTTAAGAGTGTATACTGAGCCGAAGAATGAGAACACATCTCATTTCTTTCTGAGTCTCGCGTTGGATGCTAAAGCTGTGCATTGTCTATTCTCTTCCTCCTCATCATGCCCCAGTTCAGTGTGGCTCCTACCCATCCACACTTCACCAAACTGCCCGTTGCCCAGTTTCTTAATGAGCTGCAGTGACTCCCTCGGTATCTCCCAAACATCCTTAGTCTTCACTGATAGGTCAGCTAACTTAGGCATACCGCGCCTGCAGCTGCCAATCAAACGGCAGCATAGCCCTGCTGCACGATCTGAGTCAGATAAAGAGAAACAGGAGGAGAAACAGATACGCACACACAGACAAACACAGAGTAAGAGAGTGGCAGAACAACACAAAACTAAGAGGGATACAAGATTCAAGCATATTACAAACAGCAGACATTTTCTAAAACAAAAATATAGAGTCACATTAAAATGCACATAAGAAGCAAATACACACAAGCAGACTGAAAGACTGGCTCTGTAGCCTCAGCAGGGGGCGACAGACTTTTACTGGAACTGTGGCTTCACACTTGTGTCGAAATGGCCGCCTGTCACAGGGGTGTGGGTGGTGTGAATGTCTATGTGCGTTTGTATGTGTGTAAATAAGATGAGGTATAACGATGAAGTCTTGACTAACATTAAAAAGAACAACAATCAAATTAGACAGAGACAGAAAGGCAAACATTGAAAAGTGGACATATAAAATTGCACACAGGATGAGCTCCGCTCATGAAGAACGAGAAATGAGGAAGGAAGAAAGAAGATCGGAAAACAGGCAAACTTAACCAAATAACTTGGGGTCAAAACTGTTACCAAAAAGAGCACTTCAGGACAATAAGTGATCATCTACCATAAGGGAAAGAGAAGTTCACTCACAAATCTCTAATAAGCCCGTTTAAACATAACTCCTTAAATCACAGAAATTACCCCTCAAACTCTAAGCTCATTCACCTGTTAATTTTAAAGGGTCTACATCAAGGCAAAAAACACTTTTCCTTGCTTTTTGTTCAAATAAAAGACTTTGTACCAGTTTGTTTCAGCAACTAATGTTCAGGAATTATTTGGGAATAACTCAGAAATATCAGGGATGATTATCAGCTCCCCTTCTCTGGCATTTGGAAAATGTGGTTAAAACAATAATGAGTTTAAGAACATGAACAACATGATGTCTGCAGGCACTCCTGACTGCTTTACGTAGTCATGTAAAAGTTCTATCATTTTGAATAACAGAATGCGGAGTGTGCTTAACTGTGTGTCTTTGTAAGCAGCCTTGTGTTGGTTTACCTGAGTAATGCTCCACCAGTTGTGGAATGGTTTCAAACTGACTCCGTGTGGTGATGTAATATCCACCATTATCAAGCTTCCTGATCTTATAATGCTTGACATGGTCACCCTTTGCATCGTCCCAGTCTCTGATGGACAGAGAGTATGCACCTGAGGGAGAGGCAGCAAGAGAGAGAGAGAGAGAGAGAGAACATGATGGAGGACATGGTGTAAAGATATGCTTTAGCAATAGTTATCAGTTTGGCATGACCTTTGACACAACGAAGTAGATGATGCAAGAGAGGAATTTACCTTGAGTTGTCTCACTCTCTCTTATTAAGAAAGTTCCTCTGGGGTTGCTTGGGCCCAGGAGCTGCCTCTCTGCATCCTTACGACCCATCTTACCAAAATACCACCTGCAGGAAAACAGAAAAGATTGTATAGCAGGTTTTCGCCTTATATACACAGTATTTACATAGTATTCAACTACGTCATTAAGAACGCCCTGCTGCCAATTTGGTAGGCAAGTTGTAACTCTTATAGAGCTTCGACAGAGCTCAATTCATCACTGTTTCTGCAGCTACATCCCTGCAGGTGGATGAAGTCCAAGCAGAATGACCGCAAAACTGACAAAACTATATGTAGACATTTTGAATGCAGCCTCCAGAAAACACTACAGGGAGAAGATTAACTGGATTGGTGGACTGGATCCGTATAACCTGCACACCTCTCAAGTTCAGAACATTCCAATGTGTGAGATTTTACACAAACTAATAAAAGTAGCTACCAAAAGTGCCGAAGCTCTTAAATAATGAACACACATAGTGAGAGCTCACACTTTGTGAGCTCTTATTTGAATTTTCCGTTCCACCGTAAATAGTGCTGCAGTTTCACTGAGGTGCCTTAAACGCAAAACGCAAATTTCAAAAAAGAAGTTGGTACATAACATAAACCTTTGCTTGGAGATGAATGAGCAGCTTTCAAGCAGCACAGCAGAGTTATAGTCAGCCACTGGAGCTGCTGGACTGTTGAACGCGTCTCACTTGCTGATCTAATGCTTCTCTTTACCTACTGCATTAATTAATGCACTGCTAATGGTACTGCGCTATTTTTTGCATGCTATTTAGAGTGCTACTATGTGATTTGGGTAGCAGCAGAAGTAACGTAAGCTGGAAACTTTAGTCATTTAGATTTGAACTTTGTCATCATTACAAAAACAATTTCAACTGTTTTTGCGTGCTGGGTGCCTCACGTTTATGCGCACTGTTTATCTGTATTTTGTGTGGTCCAGACACCCTGAACGGAAAAAGTGCAACTGGTCAAGCGGCCTACTTTTTTTCCTGTGGTTACCAATCAGGGTAAAGGTAATCAGGTCAAATAACAGCTGTTGAGGATGAGTAATTGAGGAGGCATTTAGAGTTGCACTTGATGAGGACTGTGTACAGATCAAAATGATCCTGACATAAGTAAAGCGCAGTTTTTTTTGTGCTAACAGAACTATGCTTGCTAATTCATAGTAGATCACATTTCAGAAGGGCAAGTGCCAGAGATTTCTACCTACACATATTGAAACAATCGCTATTGTTATTTCAGAAACATATGTGCTCCTGATTCTTCAGCAGCCATTTGTGGATAGGATTGGACATGCCTGCAGTAGATGTAGTACCTATTTTTATAAATGTTCAGGTATCTGCATCGGCAGATATGTACATCAAAGACATCGGATATCGGTATCAGCCCACATCTCTCATATTGGTGTGTGGCATGCGCCCACCCCCGGGCCACGAGATGACGGCCACGAGAGCCGGCAGAAAGGCAGGGCCCGAACTCAGAGCGAGGACGAAGCCCCACAAGGACAGTGGGGGGGAGAAGACGTCGCCGAGGCCCCGCCTGCTGGCGAAGACGTTGCCCTGCCTTCGGCCAGCACAGCCGCCCTTTTGCAGCCGCTGCTGCTCGTCCCTCTCGAAGCAAAAGACTAAGGGAAGAGCTGAAAAGCTAAACTGAGAAAAGGACTGAAAAGTCTGGTTTAAGCCACTGAAAAGTGGCCAGCATAGCTTTGGTTGTTTGGTTTTGTTTTTGTTTATTTGGTGTGTAGATAAAACCTAATGGCTGCTGCAACCCTGAATCCTGCCTCCAGCATCCTCCTTGAGCCTGGGGTAGCGCATGACATGCTACATGGTGCATCCCTAGTATTAATGTGTCCGTACTATATATGTGTGTGTGTGTGTGTGTGTGTGTGTGTGTGAGAGAGAGAGAGAGAGACTCACTCCTCTGCCTGTATGGAATCCACAGGGGCCACATAATTACTGGGAATGTACCCAGACTTTCCTGTGTCCAGAGAGCGCACGTCCCACCAGTCACCCTCACTGTGAAAACAGAAGAGCAGGTGCCATGTCAGTAGTCTACACTGCAGCTTTATAAACTCAACCAAGTAAACTCATAATGCTGCACTGCCTAGAATAACATGTGAATCTCTGTACTTTGTGAATCTATGTTCTCTTTGGTTAACTCACGTGTTATTGATAATGTGGAATTTTTCTCCCTTCTGAAAGCTCAGATCATCCTCCGTCCGGGCTTCATACTCATACAGTGCTATAAAGAGTGTAACACCTCCTCCTGTGCTCGCACACACAAACACAGACACACATACAGGCATACGTATTGGATTACCTGCAGCAGCACAGGAAATTAGAGTTTGTCAATTTGTACTTTTACATTTCTTGCTATATAAGGGTGGCTTAACTCTGGTCCTGGAGAACTTTCGTCCTGCATAGTTCCAGCCCTGGGAAGTAAGCTGTGGAATTCCCTACTCGAAAAACTGATAGTGATAAAATTTCTTAGCACTTTTTTAAAAAAGGATGAAACACATTTATTTAATCCTGTTTTTAAACAGAATTATGTTTTATTTTCTTCTATTTTATAGTCATTTTTACTGTCTTGTTCTTTTTAAAAATCTGTCTTGTCTTTCAGTCTTTTTAATCTTTCTGTAAAGCACCTAATAAGGTGCTGTATAAACAAAATGTATTATTATTATATAGACCCTGTTAATAATGGCCTTCCAGAGCATCTGAGTATTAGAGTCAGGTGTCAGTTAAAATCAGGTGAAATAAAATCTCCATGCTCGCAGATCTCCAGAACCAAGAGGTTTGCCTCCCTGTGCTACTCCTCATTACACATACATACCCGTGATGGCTGTAGAGCGGGACTGACTGGTGTTGGAGGGGAAGCTGGATGAAGAAAAACCACTGGGGCCAGAGATTGTGTTAGGGAAATCATTGTAATTGGGGATAAGCCCCACCCCTGAGCTGGGGGTGGGGTTCGCAATGTAACGTTCCACCTGAGCTCCACCCTCTGTGCCACATGAGTCAGCATTTGACACTGGGGACGATTTGGAGGCCTTCCTCAGCTTACAGCAAACACAGCCCATAATAATGCTGATTCTCAAAAAGCAGAGCTCATCACCCTGGAAACAAGAGCTTCTGCCCGTAAAAAAAGAAGGAGACAGAAGTGAGTTAGAAATGAACATGAATGCAACACAAATTACAGCATAAAAGCTTTTAGCAACATGGTGGAGGCTGTGTCGACTGAAGTACTTTCCTATGTTGAGTTATTGGTAGTGTTGCAATTTATGAGTTAACAGAGTGGAGAGAGAAGCGTGTTTTTAAAGTGGCAGCAGAGATGCAACTCAGAAAAAAACTGCACAGTGTTGACTGTGATAATTATCAACACACTGATGTTTCTATATGGTCAACACACTGATGATTCTATATGACAAGAGTGCCTGGGAGTGGCTTACTCAAGTATAACGTGCCTTTTCACATCTCTAATATAATCACTCGAGTTTGTTAAAAATATTGCAAAACAATACATTTCTCAAATGTTGTTCTGACTGGATAAAACTTTATGAATATATTAACACACTGGAATTTGCTCTGTACACATCTTGTACCATTATCTTTGACTGGATGCAGGGGATTTTGACATGTGCCAGATGCTGCCTGATCATCTTCTGTAAGTGTAATAAATGAGTGAATAACAAAAACTAGAAGAACCTCCGTATTTCTTACAGTCATAAACACAATATTGCATCGTTTGGATCTTTTGAACATTCATGGTGAAATTTTCATTCATGCAACGAAACACATTATTTTATGTGTGTTCTTGTCCACTCTGTTCTAATGGGATTAACACATGTTACAACATGTGATCTTTGATAACGGTGACATCAAAACCACCATAGCATTTGTAAGTCTACTTCCTAATTTGCATCATATTGTAGATGTGGTCAAGTTTAACATATCAACCCTGTTATAGTAAAATACGGAGTTACTTAATACAATTTCAGAACATTAAAATATGTTTGATACAGTATGAGGTCATATTTAACAATTCAACATTTTGCTAAGTGAAAATCAATGTGTTCACAAGATGCCGAATTTAGGTAAAAATGTACACCTTGTCATCTCCACAAATACTGTATTTTTTCAGTAAATATTCACAATAATATACTGTTTTCTTAAATGTTGGTGTTACTGCATTTTGCTATGAATTATGGTACACAAATTCCATTTTTAACAGCTTATTGCATAATTTGCAGTAAGTTCCAGCAAAAAACTAATTATAAAAAAAGAAATGTTACTTTAGGACAGTAATCATTTTCACATTTGTAGTAAATGCAGTAATCATTTTCACATTTGTTTTCAAATTTGATTTTAATTTAACTGAATAAAAAGTTCTCATTAAATGCCATTTCAATCAAGAATTTTTTTTCTTAAAAAAATGCTGTCTTTTAGTCCCTGTCCACCTTGTCATCTTCACATTTTAGCAAAATAAACTAATTATTCCAATACTTAGCTTATTAATTAGTTATTAAATAATCCAAATATTTAAAGTGAATTATTACAGACACCAAGGAAGCAAATTGTATTATTAGAATTTTTTGATCAAATATTTTTGCTCACAGATTTTGTTTAGAAAAGAAAGTGTAGCTTAAAAAAAGGTAAAAGGTGTAGGTAAAAAAAACTTTAAAACTTTCAAAAACATTTTACAGCAGATTTCATAACCAAAAAAACAAACTAAAAATACTAAAGGGTCACAACATCTGTTTTGCACTGGTCCATGACAGGGTGGACATGTGTTGTGGTCGATTCACAAATGCTTTGCCTGCAGTTATAAAATGAAACATATCTTAGATTGGTATAAATGTTAATATAATGAACATTCAAACAATTGGAAAATCTAATTAGGCCCCAATGGCACCCTGTACTAAAAATGACCCTTGACTTTTTGATCCATAGGCCTTTTATACAGTTATTAATCTTAAGACTTATGAATGTTCGTTAGTTAAGAAAGTGTGTAACTGAAGAGAAGACATACATACAAGCCCTTAAGACCACAGAACATCAACTCAACAAACACGACAAACCAAATTGTGTGTGACTGCTGAGACTCTAGAATGTTCATGACTCTAGAAGAACAAAAAGGGACTAAACCATTACAAACAACCTATGGTTTTAGTTCTAGTTCATTTTCCACCTGCTTGAGATACAACTGGAACTGTCAATAAACAAACAAACAAATGTGATTATTTGTTCATTTTATGCCACTGTAGTCCAAGTTCAAAGCATCTAAACTGGCTATTTAGGTACCTGCTTGCTAGTTTAACTTTGTTACACTACGATGAAACAACTGAACATTCTGAGCACAAACAATCACAAAAATCAAGAAAATCATACTGTAAAAAGTCTGTGAAAAGTGAATCAACACATTATCTATCTTGCATCCTAGATATCGTAGCTTAACACTAGTTGTGCTAATATTAAATATTATAATGCATCTTTCTACATTCACTCACTCACTCACTCACTCACTCACTCAAATGTTTACAATTACACAAATCATGTGCAGAATTAAAAAGGTGTGTACTTTTCTCTGGAGTGTGAACATATGACCGAAAAAATGCTTGTTCTGTAGAAGCTAACAAAAATGCTATTAACATTAAAGTTAACCATCTACAACACATTCTCCATCAAAGGGTTCTTTGCATGTTCGTAGTTCTATATAGAACTATTTCTTTACTAATGAACCCTTGAGTGTAGGTTACCTTCTGGTGCACTTACTGGTCATGAGTAAGTAATATAAATTCACTAAATTATTGTTGACTTTAGCTGCTAATGTCACCGAAGACAGTGGAGAACACCCTCAAGTACCATTAGGTCCTGTTGATAACAATCTAGAGCAGGTACCAAAAACCATAAAACTACCATCAGTACTGGACCAGTGGCCAGTGGAAACTTTCCTGTTGAAAATTTCCAATTCCTGTTTTCAAAGGTTCTGGCACTTTGTGCAGAGGAAAAACTCCCCTGGTTTTTCAGTATTTCTACTTTTAAACATTCTAAAACAACTGCAGCATTAGAACCATAGTGTTTGTTGGGTTGGTGTGCTCTGGCCTTTAAGGTTTAATGAGTTATGGTTTAAGGGTGATATATGATGATATCTAATGAGACTCTTACCAAATACTCAAATCATCTATTCATCCACACCATCTCCCTGTAGAGAGAGAAAGAGAGAGAGAGAGAGAGAGAGAGAGAGAGAAAGAGAAAGAGAGAGAGAGAGAGAGAGAGAGAGAGAAAGAGAGAGAAAGTGAAAGAGATGTATGGAGTTAGTGACTTTACACTTTGTGACTTTGTGGCTTCCTCTTTTGCTCTCCCCTCAGAGAAAAGGGAAGTTCTTTCTGTCTAGCATGACATTCCCCTTTCGCATGTACGTAGATCTCTCTCTCTCTTGAGCTCAGTCCAGCCTCTCTATCTGACTGACCATCAGTGGAGCAACAGGATGTCAGTGCTGCCCATGTTTCCTGTCCGACCCTCTAAAACCTGCCCCGTTTCCTGCAGAGAGAGGACATAGTTCGGCTGCAAAAAGATCCCACACCTCCCGTACTGTACAGACATACATGTACATACACACACAAACACGCAGACAAACACACGACTGGATGTTTTAGAAACGCGCAGACAAGAATTGAAAGAGAAGTGGCTGCTTCTGATGTTTAAATATATCAACCCAAGACAAGACGCACCAACACCACACTATCTGACCACAAAGTGTGAGAGACACAGATGAACAGCTGTGAGAGCTCTTGCAGTATAAAACATTTACTGTAATGCAAGTCTTCTCTGTATGTCTCATTTTTCAGATTCATGTGAAGAAATGCATGGGTTTTTATTTTTGCGTTTATAATACACCACTGTAATGATGAAAAACCAAAAACTGTAGAAAATTGTGACATACAACATTACACAGAAATACAGTTGATAACACTGCAAGATAACACCTTTTGGGGAGGTTCTTTGGCAGCTATGGCTACGGCTACAGAGTTGGTGAGAAAAAAATATTAATTTATCGAACAATGTTTGATCGCCCTCGATCTCTCTCTCTCTCTCTCTCTCTCTCTCTCTCTCTCTCTCTGTCTGGCGTAAACATGACACAGCTGCTTACGCTTTGTGTTCTGTTTATAATTTTGTGTCTCTTGTGGCCCTCTTTGCCGATTTTGAGTGTAAATAAAAGCCCCAGATTGGGTCTAAGCCTCCTCGCTCCAGTCTGTGCCAGCTGCCATCTAAACCTCTCCTCCACACTTAAATAAGTCTGCCATTTTACACCTTTAATAAAGTCATACCACCAGCAATAACAAAAGCATGTCTTAGTTTCATATGAATTATTTTTTCATTCATGGTTCTGCAAAAATTCTGTCCAAAATACAAATTCTAAAATTTTTAAACAAAACCACATTTACATTTAAATTTGAAGAAACATGGTCATTAAAAAATGTATATCGATGTGAATGTAATTCATTGCAAAACTAAACAATAATTTATGTAATTACATTTAAATAATTATGTAATGTACATCAAATGTGTAGTAATAAACATGATAAAACGTGGTCAAGAATATAAAAACAACAAAGTAACAATGATAATTTATTTCAAAATCTTATAAAAAGCTGATGAAGATATGTTTCCATACTTTTTTGCCTGGAGTTTGATTTTGAATATTTTTGCATTCCTTGTGCTATGCATTGTGTTCATGCTCTAAAGAACAAGTAAACTGCAAGGTTTTCAATAAACATCCAGTAATAGCGTGGGAAATCTTTGAGTAAGGAGCAGTTTTTATTTATTTATATTTTAATTTAAAGCAGTTCTATATAATATTTTTTGTTAAAACTGAAAGAAGCAGCATTTCTGAGTATGGAGGAAAAAAACACAGTAAAATATAGTGAACGTGTGCCGCGGCGAGTCGCCTTGTGAAGCCTGAAATAATCATTTAAAAGTAAGAGGTACCGGGACGGATTTGGCAAGAGTTTTTCAGACCACATCATATGTCTTCATGTATTAATGTCACATGCACCGACTCAAAAAGAAGGTCTGACTCGATGTTTAGGTCTCAAATGCAAAATCAACATTACACTGATGAAGATATGATGTGCATAGCAGATAATAGTAGACAATTCACTCACATCCAGAATTCTCTCTGAATACTCTTTCAACGCACTTGCAAAAGTCAGATTTATCCACTTGTGTGGGTCAGAAGCATGTTCCAAAATATTCTTCCACACGTTGTGTGCAATTACATATTTCCACTAGAGAGCTTTCCAAATCCCCAAATCCTACATAGTGCTGCTTTAAGCTGGCAATTAAGAACATCTGTACTTGCAATGGCAGGCTTGCAAGCGGGCAGAAGCTACTTGACAGAGAGGGACGCATAAATCATAAAATAACATTTGAAAATGTTATTGAAACAAAAAACCTCCATGATATTCAATTACAACAAAGAAATAAATAAACAAACAACAGGTATATGTATCAATAAAAACGGCCTTTGTGTTTCAATCATTGGCTGCAGCAGACTGAATAATGAGGAGCCAAAAGAGATTTTCATTTGAATATGAAGGGAGGATCTGGTGTTACACTTAGCAGACAATGGTTATACATATGATGGTTTGTAAGTAGGGTAGTGATTGGCCCAGGAAAGTCTTATAAACTAGTATATTGTATATTGTATAATTAGTATGTTGTGTATTGCAACTATTGTATATTGTATATCGCAACTAGTGTGTAAAGTGGGCCTATTAATCAGAGAGTAAAGAGTTTCACTGAGAAACTGCACCAAAACTGAGATAAGCAAAACCACACTGGGTGTTTTAGCGTAAGGACCAAAAACTGATCAACAGCAGGAAAACCAGCTGTTATTTTTATTTTCATTTATAAAGTTAAACTTATTTTTAAAAAGAGGAACTTACAGGATATGAATAGAAACAGTCATCAGAATTTAAAGAAGAACGTGCTGACAATTCAGCGGTGACCAGGAAGTATTATCTTATTTGCATAATGCTAACAGACCTTTATAAACTATAATTCATTTTTTTTCTTCTTCTTCTTCTTCTTATTATTATTATTATCCATTAAGCTTACGTGCTGGCTACTCAATGATACCACAATATGGACTTAAATGCACTTGATGTGTGTGGTGAGCTGTGGGATGAATAAAAAAATGATGAAATATTGAGCGTCTCCTAAAGAGGTTACTATGTAAAATGTTCAAGTTTCCGTTTTCATCTTCATGACAGCCAACCTTTAGTGGGTCTCTCAGAGGAAGTTACAGTTGGGGGTAAGCCACAAATAACTACAGTATAATTAGCAGTATTAGAGTAGAATGCCTGCACTCATTAGTAGAGCATTATGAGCACTCTGCTTTACACTGTGGAAGCTGGCAGATTAAAGCTGTGTCAAGTTCTGCTTTATGACGATCTCCAATGATCCAATGATCTCCAAAGCTCACAAAAAATTGTGCTTTAACATGAAAACACAATTTTCAGGTTGTTCAAATCTCCTGATACACATGTTGCATATAGTCTAAAGTCTTTCTGCATAATTATAAGCAAGTTTCTTCACAAAGCACAGTTAACCTTACATTGTCATGCAATAAAGCACAGCCATTCAATACTCAACACTCAAGGTAATGAAGTGAAACACAAATGACACAAGGTTGTTGTGGTGTAAGCCCTAAAAAGCTTAATTGTTTAAGCATAGTTTTAAAGGTGCAATCAAAAAAGGGAAAACTGAAATACAGTTCATGAACATAAAAAGTGATTTTTTTATATTTAGTAAAATGAAAGCCAAAAATCAAGAGACAAAGAGTGCAGATGAGAGCAGGTGGTCATGGAAGAGGAAGAAGACGAAATGGAAGAAGAAGAAGAAGAAGAAGAAGAAGAAGAAGAGAATGTATTATAGATGAGATATGTGCAACAGCCCTTGACTATTTTGGTATGCCAATGAGAAAAACTAGACAAAGGGTTCAGCCCAATCTGATCCACTTTGATAATCAGGGTGTTCAGAGATGAAAATAAGTAATTTACAATACTGTACTCATGTTTTTTTTGCTTTCGAGCATTTCAGAATGTCTTTGTATTGACGCAGTAGGGAATATTCTGTTTTTCTAGAACTGAAAGACAGCTGATCAGGAATTGTTAACAGTTGTGTGTGTTTCATGTGCTCACTTAGCCCAGACAGTTTATGCTTCAAGTTAAAAAAAGGACAAATAGAAAAATCTTCCTTAAATCAGCCATCATGCAATTAATCCCTAATTTATATTGCCTCTTTTTGTCTTTTACCCTTTGTGAAGTACTTTGACCTGCATTATTTGTAAGAATGATGCTACATGAGAAAAGCTTATTCATTTATTCATTCACTCATTTATTTATTTATTTATTTGCTATTTTTAAAAAGGTTCATTCACTGGTGCTCGCTCCTCAAGGGCCGCAGTCAGGCACAGTTTGGTGATCACGCCCTCCAGCATGAAATGAAGGATGAAATGTATGTATAAAGTGAAAGTATTCTTCAGACTGATCGGCCAATCAGAAGCTTTACAGCTTTATTGTCTGTTCTGAAGTGAATGAACTTAAAACACTATGCATGTGTCTGAAAATCTTAATTGTCTTTGTTGCAGTGAGTGAATGGTACAACTGTCCTGTTATAAAACACATTATTATGCAGTTATTTGTTTGTGCTACAACTATCCTGTTGTAAAACAATTTTTATGCAATTATATGAATGCCTTTATTCATCCTAACACAGAATACTCATTAGGAACATTCTGAGATCAATGAGGATACTCACAGCACACAATATACAATTTTGTAAAACTTCTACAAACTGAAACACATACTGTAAGAACAAACACTGCAGTAACAATATATCCTGCATTAAGTTAATTGGTACATTATGTGTCAGTAAAAGTCAAATAAATATTACAACATCCATAAGTTTCCTCTCAAAAATCTATTTTTGGTCATTTATAAAAAATAGTCATCATTTATGGATTTAGCCAAAACTCGAAAAAGTAGAAAAAAAAATTAAAAAGTAGAAAAAAATTAATATTTCACAAAAACAAGTAAACACAAAATAAAGTTTTTAAATGATCTTTTCATTTATTGAAGGAAAGCAGTTATCTAACACCAACTGAAACAAGTAATTGCCCATTTTTATACTCAATCA